TCCCTCCCTCCCTCCCTCCCTCCCTCCCGCGAAATCACCTAACACTCCACTCTCACACATCGGAGTGTGAAAAACAAGCCCAGGTTTCAGCATCAGATAGGCTGATGACAGAGGGAGAACCAGGATGGTGTTTTCCTGAGTCTCTTTGCCTGGGCACTTTTCCTTCGCTCCTTATACAACTTATCAGGCAACAGCAGCTGCACCAGGAGCAGCCACTGACCCTGGGCAGCTACAAAGGCTGGGTCCATATGTGTTGTCATCTTCTTGCCTTGCCCAAGCTGTTCTGTGATTGCCCAGGAAGGGATGAGTGCAATCTGCCTGTAATTCACATATTCCTCTCAGCCAGTTGATTTACTCAGTATTAGCATTTGTATCTGCCCAGTTCCAGACTAATTTGCCCTTCCTGGAGGACAGGCAAGGTGACAGCTCATGATTCTTTTCAGTTCAGTGGCAACCAGCTGTGTCATTTTACCCACAGAAATCACCACCATTGTCAAAGGCCTTCCCTTGTGCATGTGGTTGTTCACTCCTGTGTTTGCTGTCTCCCACATCTCACGTTCCCCTGCCAGACACTACACAGCAGATTGCCTCATCCCTGGTGCACCTTCACTGGTTCAGGTGGAACCTGCTCCAGGGTTCACTTGGAACCTGCTCCAGGGTTCACTCCCCCTGGTGCCTTTGATTTTTAAAGCACCAGCTTCCTCTTCAGCCACTGCAGCTGCAGAAGTAGGGAAAAGCACTCCTTGAGACGGGAAAATCATCTCTGGGGCTCTCAGCATAGGAAAAAGATGAACCTGTTGAAGCAGATTCAGAAGAAGGCCATGAAAATTATTAAAGTACTGGAGCGCTTCTCCTATGAAGACAGCTCCCAAAACAGCTGTGGTTGTTCAGCCTGGAGAAGAGAAGGATCTGGAAAGATCTCATAACACCTTCCAGTATGTAAAGGGGGCCTGTAAGAAAGGGACAAACCTTTTAGCAGGGCCTGTTGCAACAGGACAAATGATAATGATTTTAAACTAAAAGAGGATGATTTTATATATATAATTTAGATTATATGTAAGGAAGACATTTTTTAGAGTGCAGATAGTGGTGGATGCCCCATGTGTGGAGACATTCAGGTTGGATGGGGCCCGAGAGGAAGCTGATCTAGCTGAAGATGTCTTTGCTCATAGCAGGAGTATTGGACTGGATGGCCTTTAAAGCCTCCTTCCAGCCCAAGCCATTCTACGAGTCTATGAAAAGCGGGTTTGAGCAGAGCCGGTGACTCCCAGGGGGGCGGGAGCCGGGAGCGCGGCTCGCCTGGCTCTCGGCAGGGTAAGGGCATCATCTAGTGGTCACACGGCATCATCTGGTGGTCACATTGCATCATCTAGAGGTCACACTGCATCATCTAGTGGTCACACGGGCCCCTCGCACCGCGCCGTGCGGGGACACGGCAGACCGCTTCTCTCTGGGGAACTGTAATTGCCGCATTCCCTTTTAAGACAGGAGTGGAGAGGAAGGAAACCTGCGCAGAGACCTGGGAGAGGACCCCCAGGAGTCCCTGGCTGGTGAGACCCAGGTGGGAACTGGCCATTCCCTGACATTGTTAGGAAGCATCACATTCCTCACCTCATTTCTCAGTGGAAGAACAGCTAAGTGGACAGTGGAAGGAGAAGACACCTTGTGTATTTTGCCAAACACTGGCATATAATTTTCTAACCTTCTCCTTTTGCCCCCTGGGCCAAGTAGGCCATGGATGTAAACATCAACCCCCTTTCCATGTGTACCATAGTTAAAACTTTCTAGGTAGCTTTTCTAGTGTTCATGGAAGACATCTATAGAAATTAAACAAAACCTTTCAACAAAGAGGTTTAAACAAAAACATTCTGCAAGAAAAGAGCAGAATACAAACTCAGTGAACTCATCTCACTGATCTTCTCTACTTTGAATCTAAAAAAAGGGGGTGCAAAATTTTCCATTTCCTTCCAAGAGTGTATTCTTGCAGCCTTGCCAGGGTGGAGTGTACTTCCGATTGTTATCTGAGAGTGAGTCAGTGCCTTTCTTGAGCAATTCAGCCTTCAACTTTGCATTTCCAGGGATTTTAGTGTTTGCTTTAAAAATAAATGCAAAATAAAATAAACTCTTCCAACCCTGATATTTTGGTACTATTATATTTACTCCAGCTGAATCTTAACTTCATCAGAGTACAGTTCTTCCTGTGGGATTTAGCTAATGTTTGCAAAATACTTGATTTATGATGAACTGTTGAAAATCATGTTTAGGGCTGCTACACAGCTGAGGGTCTGCTCTGCTTTCAGTATTATTTTTGTGAGGCTATTTCTTACCTCGAAGACCCTTTGACAGTTTTCCTTCCCCCATCCCCACAGTTCTGCTTCCCAGTTTTCCCCAGTAGATTTGTAGAACTTGCTTGAGAAGCAGTTGTATCACAGCATTATCAAGAAGACAAGCAGAGACCAAGTTTATTTTCCTGCACTTGGTGCTGGTTTGGTTACATCTTATTCATTACACATCTGTGGTGTTTATTTTCCCTCTCAGGGTGCAGTGCTTTGTGTTCATTAATCCCAAATGTTTCCTGGTTTCCTCCAGTCCCTGTTGCTCTCATCTCCTCAGGCTGCAGTACATGTTGTTTCTCTTCTCCTGTGACCCTTTAAGTTGCAATGTCACCCCCAAATACTGTGGGACAATGCCAGAGAGACCTTATCCATCAGCAGCATCTCCTCAGGACATGTGAAGGAGAAAATTTGTATGAAGTCGATTTAGAAAGCTTCCAGCCACCATAAGTCTTGCCTTGGCTTGTAAGTTGTGAAGGGAAGGAGGATGGAGAGTTGGGGGAAGTACATTTCCAAAAAACCCTAAGCGAAATCCCACACCTGGAAAAATCAAGCATGTTTTCAGCACGAGGAAAGTGGTGACTATAGATATTGGCAAGGATGTGGAGACAAAACAGCTTAACATAAGAGGTGAGTTGAAACAGGCGTCTGCCAGCAGGAAACCTCCATACTAATTGTTGTTTTTGCCTCCTGTGGCAGGTGATGGACAGCTCAATGCCCCTGATTGGGGAGCACATAGAAGAGGACAGACAACTTATAGCTGATCTGGTTGTTTCCAAAATGACTCAGCTTGTCATCACTGCTGGATCTACGCCATCACCACTGAGGCCTTGGGTATGAATGGAGATTTGTGACCAAGTTATTTCCCTGAATTTCTTCCTTTCTCTCTCCTCACTGTGTCAGACATCAGAGAGTTGAGCAGTCCCATATGGGAGTGTATTGGATAGACTGATTCCTGCTCTTCCAAAGGAGACTCTCACAGGCTCTTTGAAGTGGGCACCCCTAAGGAACATATCTCTCTCCCTTACTCTCCTTCCAGATAAATATGACATCACACCAGTAGCATGAACATGCATCTAGACATTCTGACTTGCTAAATTCATTGATTCACATTGAACATGGGCATTTTTAGAGGTTCTTCTAATACCCAGTTTAATTTCTGTCTAACACCATCCCTCACGATAGGATTGATTCTGTTTTTTGCATCGCTGTTCTGCTTTCAAGAACAGAAAGTGGGAATCTCCAGCAAGACTTGTTCCATTCCTTACTGCAGTTTCTACTTCAGAGCTGTCCTCTGCCACCTTCATCAGGGGGAGGCTTTATTAAAGCTGAACGCATATAAGAACCTGTTAATTTTGCATTTAAACTGACTCCTTAGTTCTTCTTGTGTACATCCATTTTGAGTATCAAATGCATCTAATTTTACTGCCACATTTCCCAGGGGCAGTTCCATATAAATGAAACACCCCAGAACATAACCTGAGTATCCAGGTGTACCTGCTACGCTTCCTTCAGTATCTAACGGACAGTCAAGTGTGAAGTGTGATTTGAGGACAACAAATCTGTACAACAGAAGAGACAAGAGAGTAAAAAGTCTGAGGGCAAAACTGAAAGCAACACACTGGTACAATTTTCATTTCCACTTGAGACAAAAAAATGGGATAAGGCACTTTATGGTGCTCTGCCTTTGTCATATAACAGTCCACTCCTGCTAAACCAGGTCCCAGCATGAAGGGTATTCAGGGTAACTCCAAGTTTTACCTAGAGTGAAGGAGTAAATATTTAATAGACACTGAAAACGCTTTGAGGCAGGGAAAGTGGTACAGAAAAGAGAGCATTTACAAAGTGGAATTTAGAACTACCTTTCAAAATAGCTAAGATATAGAGTGTATGAACTAAGAGCAAAGGGCAAGCCAACAGAAACTGAGAACATGGACAGATGCATCTGTTTTCCATGTCTGTAACATACTGATACAGGATTGGATTGGTTTACAGCAGACCTAAATTAAGGCCAAAACAAGAACAAAACAAATCTTGAAGGGATAGAATGTCAAATAGAAGAGTCAAACAAGAAAAGGATCTTCATCGGGAATAAAACCTAGAAATACCTGTATCTATAATCAAGAAAACTAAACCCACAAATATGTTAACTAGAATGTTTTACTATGGAGAAGGAGCTTGGTGCCACAAACATCACAAAAATTGTACATGCTACATTACTAACATAATGATATAACAGCTAGAAGTGTCCAGAGAGAAATAATTAAATATGAGGCTGGTGTGGTGCAGAACTAGAGACGCAGATGAAGACTTCCACAGAAGGAATACAAGGAGCAATTCTGAATATAAAGACAGCAGTACTGAATACACAGAAATATGAATCCTTGGATATCCTATGGGTATGAATAGAATACCTATACATATTATTGGACTCTATACTAGTCTCTGGGCTGAGAAAAACTGGGAAATTATAAAACTGAGAGCACAGAATTTACAGAGATGGAAAAGTAACAGGTCACAACAATGTGAGGCTTCAGCTATCAAGAAACAAGTCAAATACCACAGTGAGACAGCAATCCAGAGGGAGGTAAAAACACCTTGACTTTGCCATAAGAAACATCCAGGTACAAATTCAGATAGTGAGTGTGTACCATTAGATTTAATGTCCAAGGGACAAATGTGATATCAAAAAGTAAGGGTATGACCACAGGCGTGAGAAAAGAAAATTAATCAACTCCTTATCAGTAAAACTGTATTGATGCTATTTGAGAGACCACTGTTTTCCAGAATGCATACATACATTTCTGACCTGCTCCCAAACCAAGAATGTGAGAAATAAACTTGTAGAGTTAAATGACAAAAAGAACATTCAAGACAAATTAGGGGAAAAAATCTTTCAAATTTGGAAATCTGAGATTTAAGAGGACCTTTATGTGGCATCATACAAGTAATAAAAGGAAATGTAAAAAGGAGAGAAATTAATTTTGAGGAGCAGATAGAGGAAAGAATGAAACAAGTTCTTTGAGTTCATCAGAAAATGGAATCCTACCAAACAATTGGTGGGCTCTATGGATCATCCAAAGTTAAGGGAGGAAAAGAAGACAACAGGGACAGCATTGTGACGCTAGGAAATGTAATTGCTGAAAGTGGGGAACTTCTTTATCTCGTTATAGTTTTTCCTGATCAGAATGACACAGAAAAGAATAAAAGCAGTTATTAAATCAGTGATGACTGATATTTTAAAAAAATTATTAAGCCCCCAACTCCAGATGGCCACATGCAATGAACTGAATTTGGGAAGAGACTAAGCTGCCAAAAAAACTGTAATATCATTAGAAATAGTTGCTGCTCCAGAGGACTGGTGTACAAAAACACAAATTATGTGGTTTGAAAACTGTAAGAGCAATGTAGAAAAATTTAGACAAGTCATAGACTTTATGAATTTTCTCAAATGATAATTTAAAGAAGAACACAAAAGAATAAATAAATCAGTGGAAACCATAGCTAAGGGCATTTACCACATGATTTTTTTGCAAAGAAAAAATGTTCCATTCATTTCCTTTCGATTCTTTTCCTTTTATTTCTTTGGGAATTCTTTCATGAAGTGGTAGATAACAGGCAATCGGTCAGAATGATGTAGCCAGTCAAAAAGCCTTAGGCAAGGTAACAGGCAAGCTACGAAAGAAAGCATGGAGGGGCTAAAAGGTAAAGTTTTATTGTGTAGTAAAAGCTAACCTCAGATATAGATACCAGAAATTTTAATTCTTGCAAACAGTTAACAGAGGGGTTACTTCAAGGATACTGAGCCAGGCCATGTTGATAAATGTTGAGCCTAGGACAGGATAAGATGTTAATGAGAAGTTTGCTTCAACATGAAACACCGTCGCATGGCTACACTGTGGTTCTGTCCTCATCTCTCTGACTCACCACCAGACTTTCCCTTTACTGTTTCTCTTCCAAAGGCAGAAGACCTTGGGCTGGGCCTCACCCCTTTATCTCTCAGCTTCAAAGACCTGATTTGCCTTTATCTCTGAGATGCCTTGGTTGACTGTAGGGAGAGGCTGTAGAGGTGAATATGAGATTTAATTCCTTTTCTTTGCCTGGTCAAATCAAGACATCTTACAGCATTAGAACAGTTAATTTACATCAACACTAAGGTAAGGTTTAGTTCCCAAACTATGTAGGGCTAGAAGCCGTGACTGGAAAATTCCCAGATTTTCCTTCCCCACAATTTGCAAGTCCCAGATAAACAATGCAAAAGATGGGATGGCAACTTCATCACATTTATGTTAGTCACTTGAAACTAATTTCAATGCTTCCAACTATGAAGCATTTCTTCCCATTTCCAGAATCACTTAGCTCATTCTCCTGACCTTTCAGGAGCCTTGAAGACCCTTTTATCATGATGTTCTGCATGTAAATAATCCAGCATGTACCAGCCTATCTGTCTCCAGCTTCCCTGGTTTTCATAAACAATTTTGTGCAATAGGCTTACTCAGACTTTTGTTAACTTTGCACCAGCCCTTTGTGCAGCAGTTCTGCATTGCTTAATCTGTTTATTAAAATATCTGTCAAAAAGACTAAACAGCGAGAGAGAAGAAAGAGCAGATGGCACCAAATTATTTGCGTTAGTCAGGACCAGGGATGGCAGTGAAGAACATCTGACAGAGCTATGTATGTTCAGTCACCACAACAGCAAATGAAACTTCATATGGGAGACTGAAGGCTAAGCTAAGCTGGGGGTAGAGAGGGAGAGCATAAACAATGTGCAGAACTTTCAAGTGGCACCAGCCATTCCCTTGAGAAGTACTTTGTCACATACAGGCTAATGAAAACCATTGCTCAGCCTATGGTTGTGTTGACAAGGGAAAAGCAGGAAATTAGGATGCAGGAAAAATGAACTGGCAATGTATACAGAGAACCCAGATATTGCTTCATCTGGAAAAATGTAAGCAGACCCATCTCTGGCATCTGCAGGAGAAATTACAAAGCTGGGAAAGAGAAGTTGGTGATGAAAACAATCAGGGGCTTGGAAATATTCCCATGGAGGGACTGGAGGGATTCTAAAGTCTTTTGGCTGTAGAAAGGAGGTGAATGACAGAGAGGGCAGTGAAGGTTTACAAAATAATGAATGGCCTAGCATGGGCAGGTTGTGAGAGCTAGTCTCAAAACTCAGAACAAAGCAACACACACAAGAAATGGGAAAGACAGTGAGGCTGAAAGTTGAGCAAGACTCAAAAGGGTCTGGATGTAAATATCAAAACAAAATATCTGGAACTGTTGCAAAGACTTTGTAGAGCAGATAATAAGCTTCATGTTTCAGGGCTGAAGCTGGCCCATGCTTATTAGCAATCAAGAGGAGATCCCTTAGGGTACAGAGATGATTACTCCATAGACATTTCCATGGTTCATCCCTCCCTCCTTCAGAACATCTGGTGCTGGCAACTGTCCAAAATGGGAGATGGGACTAAGAGACCCCCTCGGGCCAGATACATTTGGTAATTCCTGATTGCCTAAAAAAACATTCTAAGTTGTAACTTCGTTGTTATTCCCTGTGAGCGAACAACTTTGATGCGCTTTTTTACTCAGCTCTCCATTTCAGCCCTATGAGATTTTACCAGCCAGATGCTGCATGTGTGTGAATGTATATTTAAGGAACACTTCATGACTCTACAGTTCCTGTATTACCTCAGGTCTTCTCTTTGGGGACTCTGTATTAACTGGATTGGCTTTTTTCCCTCTAGCCTCCACAAGTTCAGCCTGTGTCAATGAAATCTCAGGCTGGACCTCCACTTGGACAACTGTCACAACCACGGCCTCCTCCACAAGGTACAGTTCTCTGATTCCCGTGACAGTGATGACTCTGAGTCCTATCAGTTTGCCTTCTAAATAGAAGGTATCAGGATAAAGGTTTCACTCATTTTCCAACTCACTGCCAAGAAGGCAGCAAATTCAGTGTACTATTAAAGCAGATACTGTCATACTACACAGCAGCTCAGAAAGTGGGATGAAAATTCAATATAGATCCAGTTGATACCACTGGTAGGACTTGACTCAGCAAAACAAGGCCACTCAAACTGGCACTGGAGCAGGATTCTGGGCACAGAGTACATTGTGTTTGCGCAAAGCTGTGCAGCTACAAGAGTAGAGGAGTGATGAAAAGATGCTAGTGTTGTCAGGCTTGGAACAGATCAACAACATCAGTGTTGCGATACCAGAATCCTCAGTCCATCTGTCCAGAAGTTCCCATGTCATCAAGAGCACACCCTCAGCTCCTCCTGACAGCAGAAATAAGTTTGACATATATGGCTTGGTCAGAAAAACAGGTTTGGCTTATCATCCTGATGTACACTGAGGTGATGAAGCATAGGGCTGCCCTGTAGGTAGCCAGATCACACCATCCACTCAATTCACATAACTGATTAGACCATCATTTTTGCCACCTTTCCTTCCTTTCTCCATTTCAACCTCCTATCAAATTAACACCTGCCTCTAAGTATCTTTTCCTCATTGGTGACAGTTTTGCTGCATCCAAAATTTAGCATTTCTGATACCAAACACATCTATGTAATCTTGGCATTCCATACTATTACTGATAGGAGCTGTTGGCCTTGAGGGATATTACTCCCCATCTGTCTCCAGTACTCCCCTTCAATTCTCTGTAAAACTTTTTCTCACATAACTCCCCTGATCACCTGTGAAATCCAGCCAGACCTCACAACACTATCTGCAACTTTTGTCAGGTTCTCACAGTATTATCCATCATGTCCAGCAACTTCTCATGTCATGTCCAATTGTTTTCCACATCCTCTTCAGTTCTGAGAGTCTGCTACCAAAGCAACTGAAGGCACCTGGTGATGGTTCTGGACCAGAGGTATGGATAGTGATAGGATGGAATGTCTCACATCAAACTGCTGGCCTGTGAAGGGACTGCTTGACACAAACCAGCAGGGTCAGCTTACATTCCCACAGAGCTGGTTCTCCAGTGACCCTCCCCAAGCAAGAAGTGTTCACCAAGGATAAGAAACACCAGATACATGAAGGGCAAGGCAGGTTGAAGTGGCTCCCTTTGGGGAGAGTGGAGGGACTTCTGTATTGCTGAAGAAGGTAGAGAAATGGACAACTCTAGAGAGGAGGGCATGACACCAATTTTAGGCCTGAAAGAGAGAATTTGCCATATTCTTCTCCATGAAGCTACTATGAGGAGTCTTCTTAGCAAAACCCATCCTTCCATAGAGATGCTCCGTGCTTGTTGCCCACCACATGCATTTCCTCACGTTTATGTCTACATGTCCCTTTCAGGTGGACCACGTCAGCCACAGGGATCTCAGCCTCCACGAACAAACGCACCCCCACAGCAGCGGCTGTCTCCTCAAGGACAGCAGCCCCAGAGCCCCCAGTCCACTTCTCCTCAGCAGCAAAGGTCACCTGGATCTCCACAGCAAGTCCGGTCAGCAACTGGGTCCTCTCCAGTCCAGGCCTCCAAGGCAGGCGCGTTCCCTCCACAGCAGCCGAGGCCTCCTGCCCAAGGCCGGGCTCCCAGCCAGCCGAGCCCCACAGAAATGTCCAAGCCGCAAACCACCCCACACCCACACCTGAAGTAAGTGACTGAAACTCCTAGTATCTGTAGATATTAGAATAAGGCTGTCCAGAAAGTACCCTGAGCTGACATGGAGAACATATCACCAGTTGTCAAGCAGCAGTCCCCAGGAACAAAGGCCTGCACAACTGTGAGTGACTTCAGAGGTAAATGTGTATCCCTTGCCATAAAAGCCCACCAGTGACCTGTTGTCAGGAAGAACAGGTTGTATTTGACATCACAAAGATTTCACACTCTTCTCTTGTTCATGTGCTCACTGTTAATCGTGTGCTCTACCCTGGCCATATCAACACAGCCACTGCCTTCCCAGCAGGGTGTCTTTATTCCTTCACTATTTCCTAAGTGTAGCAGCCACAAAGATTCTTTTTGCATTTCATAGCAAAAAGGCAGGGAAGACAGAGGGAAGTGAAAGTGGCCCTATTAGTGTATATAAAATTCCAGATACTGACTGTGTGGGGAAGCACTCTTCTGGAGCACAGCATGCTGAACTGTTATGGATCTTTGGAAGCAGCTTTTGTTGTCACCCTTTGTGGAGAATATCTAGCTGGCACCATGGCAGGAAAACTGACTGAAAAAAGGTCTGATGCTGACAAGAAGTTAACACAAGCAAATTGGTATGAACAGGCCAAAACAAAACATAGGCTAGGAAGATGAAGACAATTTCTGAGAAGCAGAGGAGTGATGGTCTAGAAAAGGCTTTCAGTGATCATGTTTACATTAGCGAGGCAAACTAAGCGAGGTGTACTTAAGGGTCAAAATGTTGGTGCTAAGGATGCAGTCACCACACTATACATATTTCAGATACTTTTTCCAGTCTCGTTTTGTGCTGGATACCTATTACTGATCAGAAGAAACGAAGGATGGAAGCAGGGAAAATAGGGACATTTGCTTCAAAAGCACAGTCCTGATCTGAACTTGACCACTAGCAGATACACAGCCAGCAGGAGCAGCGTGGTCAACCCAAAGATCTGCATTAGAGAGTTTACAGTCAGAGCAGACAGGCTGGGGAGGGCAGGAAACAGCACACATTGAAGGGGATCTGGATACCGACTTGCCCAACCTCTGGTGCTCTCACAGCTGAAAGGCCAAGACCATCATTCCTGGCAAGGCTGATGAGAGACAGGTGACCCCTAATATTAATACATTCTTCTGTATTAGTAGTGAAATAACTTAAGGGTATCTCACAACAGCCTCACCAAATGGCAACTGTATACTTCTAGTCAGATGTTTTCATTGACACCAGTTTTGACTGAGCCACTTGCCCGTGCCCCATTCTGTCCTACCTCTCCCATTCCTGGATGTCTTAGCACAGGGATATTCTGTGAAAACCTCTCCTTTTATCCTTGCATTTGTCTGTGTGATGAAACACAAAGCATGTGTAACCAGCTTTGAATTTCCACTTTCTCCTGCTGAGACTGAACTCTGTTTTCCGTTTCAGCAAATCGCAGTCCCTGACAAACAGCTTCAGCATATCTGAGTCATCTCAACGAGGAAATGCCACTGAAGATGAAGCAAAAGCTGAGACCATCCGCAACCTGAGGAAATCATTTGCTAGCCTGTTTTCTGATTAACAGTCCTGCAGCTGGATCTGTGCTTTTGTCAGCCCTCACTCTACATTAATGTCACACCTGATGTCATCCTGGAATATACTCAGTGAACCCAGCAATTTACAACTAACACCTGGGTAAAAGGAATTTAGAAAACTATAGTTGTTTTATTACAAAGAAAATACTCAAATAACGGTCTGAAAAGTGACTGTATAAAAGTGTCACTATTTCATTGGGTTTTGTGCATAATCAGAATCACATCTGTTCAAATGACTGAAGTGTAAAGCAAATTTTACTCTTGCTAACCCCTGTGGAGTCAACACAGTTATGACAGTGCAAACTGGGTTTTATTTTGATTTGTATATAGTCAATACAATTGTTAACTTCCAGTTACCGAATTCTTGTTAAGGACAAGCTAAAAAAAATTAGGCTTCTTTTGGAAACACATGTGCAAAGGCAGAGTCAAGAATAAGTATCCATTGACCAACAAAGTGAGCATGTTTGAGCATCCAGTGAACTGTGGAATTTCATTATACCAACTTCATAAAAGGTCACTTTTTAGAGCAAAACTGTGTTCAAGATAAATACAGTACCAGGCATCAGTAAGCACCAAAGATCACACAAGCAGGTCAGCCAGATGGACTGCTGCTTTGTTCCAGATCACTCTGCTCACAGCAGATAAAACATCTCTGTTTCATGCCTTGCATTTATGTCCCCTGCGCATGATTCCCAAGTTCTGAGAGAAAAATGTCATGTTCTAACCCTGTAGCCTTAGCTCAAAAATAACCTAAGAAATGGGTCTTCAACACAAAAAAACGTCTTCCCCTGCCCCTGAAAGCACCAGAGTTCACATTCACAGTTCACACAAATTCCAGACAAAACCCAGCTAAACTCCAAGCACTTTGGTGACTTGGTCACATCTGGCTGTCTATGTCCCTCAGGAACATGCTTAATTAATAGCAGAGCTGATGAAGTGCACATAGCTGTGTGCTGAGTGTTCCATAATACTGAATGGACAGAGAGATGGAGTGAAATCCTGTCTCCCGCCTTGAATTCCCACTGACTTTGCTGGGGTGAATGCAAAATGAATGCAAGGTGACAAACTTGCAACAGAACTGGAAAACTGTACTTCACAAGTAAGATGACCTGGGTTCTTCCTAAGACACCAAGCCACAGAAGGGCATGCATGGGATTGTCCCAAGCGGGTAACAACCAGTATTAGTTTCCCCCGATCACTCACAAGAATTATTCTTCCAGAGAAGACAGAGATGGATCTTTGCTGATGCACTTTTCCTCTAAGCCAGCAATACTGAACAAAGCTGTGTCTGTGCACATATACTGGAACTGGGACATGATAAACGCCACAAAAGCTGTATTCATAATTGAAAAACTCACCCTGGATAAATCTACATATTTATAGCTATTTATATCCATTGAGATCCTACCCTTGCACCCTGGGAGGTCTGTTTGGAACACACCTAATGCAGGTGCCAGCCCTCATCCCCCCTCCTCAGCTTTGAGGCTAGAATTGGGTTTCTCCTTCCCTTGGCAACTTCACCATGATGATACTTAGGAATACCCAGGAATGTCAGTAAAAAAAAAAGTAAAAAAGTAAAAAAGTAAAAAAGTAAAAAAGTAAAAAAGTATTTGAGCCAATGGCCCAGATCCTTGCTGTCCCTTAAACAAGGAGATCCCCAAAGCAGCAAAAGCAACAGCTGCATTTGCCATCTTGGATCTTATGATTCACTTGTGGGAATAAAGCCAAACAAGGAAATCCTTCCTGCATAGCACCTGTAATGAACATCTAATTCCAATGAAGTCATCTGGACCTTGTATGACCTCCCCTGAGCAGGCCTTTGCACATATAATGGCAAGTAACAGCATAGCTTTTCCAGATTAGAAGTCCCTCAAGAGACTCATCTGGACCAATAATTTATACCTCAAATTCAGTATTACAGAACCACCTTATTCTCTGATGGCTTGTTTCCTGTTTTGTTTTGTTTTCCTCAGTTCTCTGCTGTCCTTCAGGGTTTGATAAGCAGTTTACAATGTAGCATCATAAATATATGTCATCATCTGAGCAAAAAAAAAACCAGTCCCTGCTGTTTTGCAGTCTGCAGGAGAAATAAAGAGTGAGAAATGGCCTTGAGCAAACAGTGTCCCACTGGCAAGAGAAGCTGATTAACAGGCTTCACTATATGGAGAAGAGGTAAAACAACCCTGGCAGGAGAGGACTTCCTGCTGTAACACTTCCCTCAGCATGATTTATGCCTTTACCTAGTAAATGGTCACCAGAGATGCAGACAGAAATGAAAGTTTACTGCAAGAATCAATTGCTTTATCCCCTGAAACTCCATGATTCCCTCACCAACACAGTATACACAAAAAAGGAATGGTGACTAGTACAACACAGCCCCATAAATCGACAGCAGTTTGTCACTGAAAGTGCAACAGCTGGGTCATTTGCTGAGGCTGCATTTGAAGACAGCAGGGCTGTCTTCTGACAGACCACAGAAACAGGAACAGTGACTCAACCTCTTCATTTGTCTACAGCTCCCCAGCTGTCACTTCTCAAGGGACAAGCAGACAGAATTGCATCTCACTGCCTAGCTTTAAGTTGCAACATCAAGTACAAGCAACAGGCACTCTCAGCTTAATTTAATTAGTCCATAGATCCTGAAAAAGCACCTTCAGTTCTATTCAGAGAAGTGCTTTAAATCACTGAGTTGATTTCCAAAGTTAGATTGACAAAAATCTGTTGTGTTCTGTAACTGTCTCAACAGTACACTTCCAGTCTACAGCTATGGTGCTCACATACTAGATGTAGCAGGAGATTCACAAATGCATCATCCTGTCTTCAAGTTACTGCCTTCAATGCTGGCTTTCTACTCCAAAATCCCTCTACTCTAGAAAAAGAGAAGAGGGACTACAAGGGGTATTCTCCTTGGGAATGGGAAATGGGAAATAATAATAAAAATAATGGGAAATTAAGGTATACCCAAGAGACATTTAAGTACCTAAAGATAACCACAGGGGCATTAAGAAAACAGAAAAATTGGTAAAGAGAGGATACATTTGAATCACAGGGCACACAAGCTCCACAGCACAGCTTGGGATCTTTCTCACACAAGATGTGAAAAAGGAGCACCTGGTCAAACATTTTTTTTGTCCTATTTGCTTTAATTTTCTTCACATGGAAGCCAGGAAACATGAGTAGGTTTGTGTGTTTGGGACTAGCCCAAGTAGCTGGGACACAGCTATGACACTCATCCATATCCTCCATCTGGAAAATTAAGTTTACATTTTGGTGTTTAGCTACAAACTGAAGAACACCTTGACTTTCTTGTCATAGCCAGGCGTGGTATTTCAAGAGGAGTGGAACACACATTCCCAGGCAAGCTAAGGTCCGGAAGAACAGCAGTCCTACTTGTAAATGTAGTGGTATTTTACAGTCTTGCACCAATCAGAAGCAGATATGTAAGACCTTAAACATTATGTATGGCTCAGTTGCTTCCTCTGGTTGGCTTGAAGTTTCATGAATAAGATAAAACAATACACAGAAAAGCCAAGGATAATAGCTCCTCATTTCCAAGTGACTCAGTAACAACCTTTACAGTGCTAGATACTATGAATAGTACAGGTAAGGAATGCTCATCTTAAGGCATTTCACCTTTTGTGATTTCTCTTTTATCATTTTCAACAGCAATGACACACATACTTCACTTAGAAGCTGGCAAATAAAACAAGCAGCTAATTTTCAAGTATGTTCTCTGTTTTTTCTTCTAATTTTATACTGTTGGTCCTGAGATAGTCACTTTTTATCCTGTTTCATGAATAACAGGAACTCCTCTTTAAGGAACTTTACAGTTCCAGCTAAGTCAGGTTTCCTAATCTTTGGCTCACGCCACCTTCACTGCAATGTAATGGACAATAAAAAAAGGAAGGAATATCTTCAGGTCATTCAGCAGTGTATGTGTAAAAGGGCTGAGTTCATTACTTCAAAAACAAACATTTCAATGACAAAATCCAGGATAAATTGAACCTCTGGCATCAGCTTGGCAGAAGTATGACTACATGGTTGTCTTCATGCTCTTCCAGAGCAGCACACAGCTTGCCAGCAGGGCAAACCATGTGACTTTCATCAAGGCATTGGCAATGTGAGTACCACTGGCACCACAAAAATTAACTTCCCATACACAGTATATGAACACCGTTCCCAGAAATAGCTTGGAAACAATAGAAAAGGGTAAGTTACAAATTATTTTATCAGTTAAAGCTCTGTAACCTTATCTGAATATAATCTATGCATTGCTGAAGCACTCATCATCACAAGAACAAAATGGTGCAAGACCAATACAGTGTAGATTTCCCTTTTCCTTTTTATAGTCAGTGGAATATAAAGAACTGCTGCAAATTCTAAGAGATCTGACTATACATTTCACTGGTGAAAATGCTTTTGGAACAAGGCAATTCAACCACTGAAGGCAAATGCTAAAAGTTAAGGCTAATCTTGGTAGTGAAGTAAAACCATCCCTGTGAAGCAGGAAAGGAAGAAAGAAACAATACAACTTTTGACAGCAAAATAAAGTATTATATTTTACTTCCACTGGCAAAACTACCTGACCTTACTGAAGTCAGCTGATTTTATACAAAACAAGAAGATGAACCACTGAAATCTCACCTGAAAAAGCACATAAGTATTACTGATTAAATAGCTTGTATTTAACAGGAAATGTCATTCCATTTCCACAGCTGGAATTTCAAAAAAGTTTTAGAAAATAGTATCAGTTGTCACAACAGTCATTAGTACCATTCACATTTATAGAAACACTGAGATCAATCATCTTAAAAAATACATAAGAAATTAAAAGTTCTAGCAAAGTTTAGTCATTCCAGTCTTCCTTTAATTGAGCTCCAGCACCAGCTTGCAGGTCTCATCAGGAAACTTTGAAAGCGGTCTTGTTAGCTGCTCATTAGTTAATAAGACAACACTTGAAAGGTGCTCATAACATGCTATGACACAT